ACGAGGCGAGCTGCCCCACGGAGCAGACGCGTCTGTCGAGCCAGGCCAGCATGCGGGACGACGAGGACGAGGACGAGGAGGAGGAGGCCGGGCCACCGCCGCCCTACCACGATGCTCTCTACTTCCCTGTCCTCATCGTCCATCGCCAGGAGGGGTGTCTGGGCCACAGTCACCGGCCACTGCACCGTCATGGATCCTGCGTGGAGACCTCACTGTGACCTTCCGCCCTTGGAGGGAGCCTACGCTGTTCTCCCTCCTGCCCCTTGATGTGTCGTGCTCCCTGTGTGTAGCAGGGGAAGGCAGGATGGTGACTGAGGCCAGGCGGAGTATGCGTGATGGCGGAAGATGAGAGGCACGCCCAGACAAGACCCCAGTGGGCCTGAGACTGCTTCCCTGTACACAGATGGATGGGGAGGTTGGCGGCTCTCTGAGAATCCCACTCACTGGGGCAGAGGTGGCGCTCTTCCAGTCCCCACCGAGTTCCTATGGGGACACTTCCCTTTCCATGCACTCTCGAGGTTTCTTTCCCAGGCTCTCTTTGAGTTTTGACTGTTACTAGGCAACTATGATGGGAGACTCGTTTCTGGCCTCCCCACCAAGGAAGCCACCATGGCAAGCTGCAGGGAGGGCATTTGGGGCTTTTTATTTACTTTATTGCCTTGCCCCACCCGGTCCCCTGTGGGTGTGTGGGTATGTGTGTGGGGCGTGGTTTGGTGAAGAGTAGCAGGGTTGGTTTCCAACCAGCTATTGAGTTCACCAGGTCTGAGGATGGGGCCAGCTGGCAGCCCAGTATTCCTTTCCACACCTTGAAAAAGCTGTGGCCTCTTGGCGCTGCGGAGAAAGCTTGGCGGTTCCTTTCTGCCACTCCCACCACTGTTGTTTATTTCACTGGGTCCCAGAGGTCCGGTCCTGGAGAGACTTTTCATCCCAGCAATGACATCACTCACCTCGGGAGCTTACTAGCTGTTGTTAGGGTGCAGGGGGAGAGAAGGGAAGCTGGGGAGGGCATGCACCGGCCCTTTCTGGAAAAGGCCCAGCCTTCCATCAACCAGAAGCTTCCTCCCCTGGGTTCTCTCTCGGTAGGTGCTTCCATTAGGAGGCTAAGGTGCCGGAGACCCTCTTTAAAGTTGGCCAGGATGAGTGACCAAGTGGACCTCAGCTTGAGACACACCTTGGTGTCAAGAGAACTCAGGAGGCAGGTGGAGAGAAAGAGCAGACTTGGTAATGGTGGATGGAGTGAAACCAGCTCTGAAGGGGTGGTGTCATAGCGCTTCCTCTAAGAATTAAGTCCCTTACACACGCCTGGGTGTGGAGTTCAGTCCATCACAAGCCTAGCAGGAGAAGTACTCAATTCCAGTGGCAGGAGATCAATTCTTGTCAGACCCTCCTCTTCCCTTACCCCGTGTCTTCAGAGGGGCATCATGCCACAGCCCCAGGGTACCTGCCCCTGTCCTGTCTGTCCTTTCAAAGCTTTGACACAGACTTTGCTCTCCCACTCCCTATACTCCCCAGCCCCCAACCCCCCTCTGCCCCACTGTGCTTCATTGTGCATGTCTGTGTTTGGCCCCTTGCTCTCCCAGCTGCCCTGACTGAAGTTTCCAAGCAGACTTAGCACCCAGGCATTGGGCTCACATCCATCCAGTATTGTTCCCTCGGCTTCTTGCTTTGCCTTCATCATCTGAACTCCATCTTCTTGGCCTCCCCTCTTCCTCCTGGCTGTGCCAAGCCTACACTAACCAAAGGGTGTGGCCCCTACCTATGCAACATCTCTTCTGGCTCCCTGTCCCTTCTTCCCAGGGGGATGTGGGAAGCCCTAATTGTGGGGATGCCATGACCTATAGTCAAATAGGGGTTGAGCTTTCAAACCGTATAGAGATGGTTGGGCGAGGAGGGAGGGATGTCAGAGAGAGAGAGAGGTTTGGGCAGACGGGATCAGCACAGCTGCCCACCAGAATTCCTGGGCAGCAATGTCCACTGGCCTGCCAGCACTGAACCCTCTAGGACCCTGAGTTTGAGTTTGTGTGTGTGTATGTGTGGGTGGCTTGACTGTTGGAGCACCCTGCTTTCCCTTGAGCAGACATCTGTTGAAGCACAGGTGGTGGGGGACTGTGGCCTTGGGCCCCATTTCTTGGCCAGCTGGCACTGGATGTCTTGTTCTCACTGTGGTGGGGGGGCAGCCTGGCCACCTCACAGCTCCAAGGAAGGAAGGACTTGGCTCATTCTCTGTCATGCTGGGTCCAGAAACAGAGCTTGGCCTTGGAAGAGGAGGAGGGGAAGCCCTATTATTTTTGCCTGACCATTTCTGCCTAGGTCTTTTCATACAGACAGCCTCTCACCTCCCACACATGCACAGACTTAGAGAGAAAGCAATTCTTTGGTCTCTTTTCTTGGCAGCTTTATTGATTGCCAGGGAAAATGAAAACCAGAAAATTAATTAATCTCTAAAATTAAACTTTACACTGAATGTTCTTGTTTCTCTAATTAGAACCTCTGCTAGCAGCTGTGGCTACACACACACACAGACACACACACCCTCACACCTACATGTTTGCACTCTGGAACTGTCAGAGGGTGTCAGGCACAGATGACTTTAGGTTGCCCGGACAGGCACACACATAGTCACTCTCAAGCCCCCTCTGGTGCTCTGCTCAGCATCTGCTTGTTGCAAAGAGTCCCTGGAGTGCAGGCCCTCCTGGATTGCAGCTGCAGTTCAGTCACCCATCTTTAGTATTGGTGGGCTCTGGGCCACTCCACTCAAGGAGAGTTGGGAGATAAGGGGCTTGGCCTGAACTGGTCAGTCAGATCCTCTCATGGATCTATAGGCTGATGTAATTCCTATGGGTGTAGACCCAGGGTGGGCAGTCACAGAGTGACAGGGACTCATGGAGGGTACCTGGAAGACTGTATGTCCTGAGGATAAGGGCTTGTGGGGTGGGCTGGGCCTGGCTCGGGATAAGACAGATCTCTGTCAAATTGGGTGCATCACACTGTGGCCTTTTTGTCATGGAATTCCAAGCGCAAAGATTGTACAAATCACACTGGTGGATAATAAAAGTGTGGATGACTCACTGACTGTCCTCCTCAGAGTGACTCTTATTCCCTGCCCTTGTCAGGAGGTCTCTGTGTGTGAGCCCCTCTGTCACTTGTTACCCCTTCCCAGGTTGGGAATTAGTGATCTGTACAAGTGTAATATACCAGAATCATGACAGGCAGGTGGCATCTTCAGGCAGGGAGAGAAAGCAGAGAGAAACAGGCATAACTTTGTGCGCTCTCTCTCTCTCTCTCTCCTCTCTCTCTCTCGCTCTGTGTGTGTGTGTGTGTGTGTGTGTGTGTGTGTGTGTGTGTATGGATTGAGGTCAGGGATCTAGGGTCTGCTTGGTAGAAAGGGGAAGGGGTGGGTGAGTCAAGAGGTAGATAGATGGCGTGCGTGAAGAGTTTGGGCAGGGATGGTCTCTTTAGAGTCCTTTGCCTTCCCTGTCCCTGGAAGCTCATCATTTATACAAGTCTAGTATGGTCATTTTCCAGGTACAGGAGTTAGCTTACCATCTCTTCATCCCTACCTCAGTATCTTCATGCATATATAAACTCATTCCAAGGAGATTGGTGATTCCCCTCTTCTCCCTTCCTCAGACAGGGACAGGCATAGCAAAGGTGTGAAACGAAGGTATGGCTGCCACAGTGACCTATCAGATCACTGCTCTAAGCCTGTCCTCCATCTTAGGCAACAGAATTCTCAGGACCGTTGTTAGTGATGGGTGTCATGAAGTGGCCAGGATTCAGGGCCCTCTGGCGTGCGGCCTCTCGGTTGGCATGCAGAGCCTGGCCAATGAGGTACTCGCTTTCCTGGGATACATCTGACAGACGCAAGTCAAACTCCAGAATGGTCTTGTTTTCCGACATGCCTTCCAGGAGCTGCTTCCCACCATCCTGGGTAGGGGTGAGGCAGAGGGGTCATTGTTCATTATGTCCCAGGATCACAGGTACACACACCGCCATACACATGGAATACCTTTGCAAAGCCACATGTAACCTATCTGTTTGGGACATGGATCTGGGTGGTTGGCTCAGTGGGGAAAGCACTCATGTGCAAGCATGAGGACTGGAATTAGAATCTCCAGGATCCATGGAAATGCTGAGTGGGCATAGCAGCCCACTTGTCATTCCAGAGAGAGAGGATCTTCAGAGCAAGCTAGCAAGCAAGACCCATCATTTCAGAGAGCTCTGGGTTTGCCTGAGAGACATGCCTCAATGACTAAGGTGCAAGAGCAATTGAGGATGATTCCTGACATCAACTGAGTCTCTACATGCGTGCACACATGCTCATACATGCAAAAACATATATGCAGGCATGTGTACCACAGACACACGGAAATGAAAGGCAAAAGAAAGGACACCGGAGTGCACACAACAGAGGAGAACACAGTCTCTACGCAGTACACCATACAGTCTAACACTTTCCTGTAAGGGTGGTTGGATTGCACCCCACGCCCACCTGCCCCAGAAACTATGACTCACCACCCCGATATGGTTGCAGGAGAGGTTGAGGCTGGTGAGTATGGTGTTGATTGGGAGCACCTGGGATAGGACTGTGGCTGTGGGCTCAGACAGCTCATTGCCACCGAGGTGAAGCGTGGTGAGGCACTTGTTGGTCTCCAGGGCATGGGCAATTGCTTGGCCACCCTCGTCCTCGATGCAGTTGAGGCGGAGGTTGAGGGAGACAAGGTTGGTGTTGTGTGCCAAGGCATGAGCCAGGGACTGTGCCCCAGGTGCCCGCAATTGATTGTTGGCCAGGTTGAGCACTCTCAGGCGACTGTGGCTCAGCAGTTTGGCTGCTGCTCGAGCACCACGGTCTCCAATAAGGTTGTGGGACAGGTCCAGCTCCTCAAGAGCTGGGTGGTCCAGGAGACTTCGGATTAGGATGCGTGCCTTATCATCATCCACCTTACTTCGAGTCAGCCTGAAGATCTGCAGGCAGATAAGAGTGTTATAGCATCTGCCAGGCTAGGATGGCCTGCACTACCTAACTGCCCTGTGCTGGTAGAGAAGGAAGACACAAGGTAGCTGGAGGCTCAACACTTGGTGTTAGCCGCCCGCCTCACTTTTAAATGGGAGGAAGATATACCCAATGATGCAGAATTGGTGGCAGGTGGCAGTGTGGAAGGGTATCACCATGCCCAGGCCAGTCTACGTTTTCTGCACTCTTTTGACCAAGCACCGGGCAGTGGAAAAGCTCTCCCATGTCACTGACTGGTATCACAGAACCTCCCAGGACGGTGTCCCAATCCAATTTCTCTGGACAATAAATCCTGCTATAGTCGGTGACAAATTTGGACCTTTCCTGCCTCATTCTATGCCAGCGTTCCTACGAGCTCCCTTTCCACTGATGGCCTCTTTTCCTGGCCAGTAAACAGGACCGTCCAGTTTTTTTGATAGCTATGCAGACATCCACAGCTACTCATCACATGCAGGTCTCAGCCCCAGCAAGAGCTGTCCTTGATCCATAAGCCCCTCTCTTACATACAACTGATGATTTTCTTTACTGTTAGATCCAGAAGAAAACACACGCCATCTCTTCTACAGAGACCCAGATCCCTCATCTACTTCAGCTCTGCTCCCCACTTGACAGTTAAGCTCTTGACAAATCTGATCACAGACACCTTCCTCCTCACTTCCTACTCTCCCTGTATCCACAGCTGCCCAGCTTCTGCTTCTGGGGCCCTCTGCAGCACCCCACTTCCAGGGACCTCCCGGGCCAATAGGCCAGTCATGGGCTCCACCCTACCCTATGGCTCACTCCTTCTGTTTGAAACATGCCCCTATCTGGTTCCTCTTCCCTCCTCCCTCTCCTTCCGCCAGCATCACGTGTCAGGCTTCTCTCTGCCTCCCCTTTGGCTCTTCCTTCTAAGACTCCATCCAAATGTAGGGTCACACTTAAGACACGGTTTTCAAAGCTCAACTTAGATTTCTCCCCCCAGCATCAGATCCTCTGCCCAGCTATCACAATGACCTCTGCTCTGGGCCACCTCAAGCTGAACTCATGCTTCCCCCCCAGGATAGTCTTCCTATTCTATCCCTGCCAAAGGTTCCCATAGCATCTGGTCTCATGAGAAGGAGCCTTGACAACTCTGCCTCTTCCTTTCTGTCTCCATCCTTCTTACGTCACAGTGGCAGCTGATCTGACTGTATCTCTCTCCAGATTCTCTGCTTCATCCATCTTTTCAGATAAGGCTATGGTTCTAACTACCCTTATGTTTTGGGGGGGATGGGGAGAAGGAGACAAGGACGCAGCTTAGAGCTATCCGACAAGAGAGACTCACTTGATAACCTAGATCAGATTGGCTGGGAGAACGTCTGTGTGGGACTGTCTTTAGAGTTAATTGATGTAGGAGGGCCCAGCCCACTGTGGGCAGCACCATCCCTACACAGGTCATTCTGAACTGTATGAGAAAGCTAGCCAGGGGACTGGAGAGCTAGCTCAGCGGGTCATAGCCAGTAATGCTCTTCCAGAGACCCAGAGTTCAGTTTCTAGTACCTACTTCAGGTGGCCAGTAGCTCCAGCTCCAGGGAATCGGGTACCCTCTATTGGTTTTAGTGGACATCTGAACTTACATGAATGTACTGTCTCATACATATAACTTATAATAAAAATGAACCTAAAAAAGAACTCTAGCAGAGTAGAAGCTGGTCTATGAGCCAGCATGCAAGCAGCTTTCCTCCATCACGTCACGCTAGACTTCTCTGGCTGTGAAGTGAGTTCCTTGGTAGGAGGCAATGCTATGTGGAATAACAGGCAGGCCTCCCTTCAAGTTCCTGCCCTGACTTCCTTCAGTGATAGACTTTGACCTGGAAGTGTGAGTCAAATCCCATGTCTCCCCTAAGTTGTTTTGCTCAGAGTGTTTTATCAACAGCAGCAAAAAGGACACCAGAACAGTCTTACATAGCCCAGGCCGGCCTTGAACTTTATATGGAGGCAAGGATAACCCTCCTGCTTCTGCCTCCCAAGTGCTGGGATCACAGGTGTGTGCCACCACACCTGTCTTACGGGGTGCATGCTAGACAAGTACCCTGCCAACTGAGCTACATTCCCAGCCTCAGCCTTCTACTTTATCTGAGCTTGCCATGGTCTCCTGGTGACCTGCCATGTCTACTGTGGCTCTGTCTGGGCCATTCTCTTTCATAATCACAGTGGCTTTTTCCATATGTACTGTCCAATACCCTTGAATAGCACTTTACTTTGGATGAGGTAGGCAGCCCCCTCTCCCACCCTCACAAAGATCCCTGCGCTAAAGCTTGGTCCCCTATGTGATGCTGAGAGGAGGCAGGGACTTCAAGAGGTGGGGCCTGCTGGAGTGCAGCCAGGTCACTAGGAAGAGTCGCACTGCCCTTGGAAGAGACTGGTAGTGATCGCTAGAGACCCCAGTTTTTGCAAAAGTGGTTTGCTTGCTCTCTTCGGCACGTCCTCTTCTTCCTGCTTTTCTACCATTAGTGGAGGGGAAATACTAGAGCTGGCATTGTGTGGCCTGTGATGTGAGTCCTTTCAGCCACCAGAATTTAAGCCAACCATGCTTCTCCCTCTCCCTCCCCCTTCACGTTTTCTGTTTTATTTTTTTTTAAAGACTTTTAAGCACCCTATTGATGAGTGTTGTGTCTTTGTGTGGGTATGTGGGAGACTGGAAGAGAATCAGATCCCCTGGAGCTGGAGTTCCAGGCAGTTATGAGCTGATGTGGGTGCTGGGAACTGAACTAGTGCCTTCTGCTTGAGCAGTATGTGCTCTTAACCACTAAGCCCATTCTTTATTTTTTGGAGACAGGGTTTCCTGAGGTCTTCCACCTCACCATGTAGCCAGAGATGGCTTTACTTTTCAACCATCCTGTCTCCAACTCCAGAGTGCTGGCATTACAGACATGTAACACCACACTCGGTTCGTGCAGTGCCGGTGATCCAACCTAGGGCTTCGTGCATGCGAGGCAAACACCCTAGCAACTGAGCTAGAGTGCTGGGAATTGAATTCCCAGACTCAGGCTCTGACTGCCAACCCCATACTGAGTATGTCACATGTGTTCAGCATCTTGTCTTGCTGCTGGGATAAGATGCCTAACACGGGAAGGTTAAGGAAGGAAGCGGCTACTGGGCTCTTGGTTTCGAGGGTAGGGTTCATGAAGGGGAAGCAGCGCCAAGCTACTAGGCTCTGTGGAGAGATGGAAGAAGTGCCGTGTCCTCGCTTGCTCAGCTCACCAGCTTTTGCAGACAGACAGTATCAGGCCCTGTCCCAGGTGCTGAAGATGCAGAAAAAGCAAAATTACACCATTTGTGCCCTGTGGAGCGAGCAGTCTGGTGGGATGAAAGGCACTAATGAGCAGCGATATAAATGTAAAATTGCAGCTAGGCTACGGCTGCCAGATTTCACAAATAGAATCATGGGACGTCCAGCTAAATTTGAATTTCAGATAAAAACCACAGTGTTTGGATGTATAGCCCAAATATTACATGTACGTCTCAGTACCTGTTTGTCTGAAATTTTCAGTATAACTAGTGTGACGGTTAATATTGCCAAGGTCAAGATCTAAAATAATCTAGAGATAAGACTCTGGGCTTGTATTTGGGGATTATCTAGCTAAATAGCTACTTAAATTACCTAGTTAGACTTTTTTTTTATTCTCTCTTGACACAGGGTTTGTCTGTGTAGCTCTGGCTGTCTTGGAACTCACTCTGTAGATCAGGCTAGCCTCCAACTCCTGCCTCTGCCTCTCTAGTGCTGGGATCAAAGGCATGCACCACCACCTCCCAGTTTATCTAGTTGAACTTGAACCATAGATTGGGTTATCCTGGACTGAATAAAAAGGAGAGAGCTGAGTGCCACTGCTCCATGATCTCTGCTTGACAAGCTCCTAAAGTCCCTGCAACCATGGCTTCACTGCCCTCGGAACTGTAGCCAAATAACCACTTCCCTCTTTAAATTGCCAGGCATTTTAATCATAGCAACAAGACAAGTGAGTGATGGCAACTAGCTATCCTGCTGTAGTAGTGCTTTTTAAACTTTCTCCAGTGGCAGGGCCAGGCCCAGGGCCACACACATGCTGAAAACACTCCTTGCCTCTGAGCTGCACCCTCAACCTGGGCAGTTTTCATTTTGATCAGTCCTCTGCATCACATAGACCGGGTGTAGTGTAGCCTGTAATCCCAGAAGTCGGGCATGTCTGTGGGTGCTAGCATGCATGTGTACATGTATGCACAGTGGAGGCGGGGATCAGAAATTCAAGGTCATTTTCAGCTAACAGTGAGTTCCAGGCCAGCCTAAACGATATGAGACCCTCCCTGTCTCAAAAAAAAAAAAATTCAGCCTGGTGGTGGTGTACACCTTTAATCCTAGCACTCAGGAGGCAGAGGCAGGCCAATCTCTGTGAGTCCAGGCCAGCCAGAGCTACACAGAGAAACCCCGTCTCTAACAAAACAAAAGTTTCCAAAAACCCAGACACACAAACAATCCCTTCTCTGTTGATGAATGAGAAGGAAATGGGAGGAGATGGTGGAAGGAGAGGAGGAGGCAGACAGGCAGTCCTAGAGGCACTGAGAGGGGGAGGCAGGTGAGTTGGGGCTGTGGTACCTTGAGGGTGTGGCAGGCTTTGATGGTGGCTGCCAGAGAGTGGCAGTCTCGGAAGGTGAAGAGGAAGAGATTCCACTCAAAGTTCATGCCACAGTCTTTGACGCCGTACACCAGGTCCAGCTCCTCCAGGTGCTTGAGGCCAGCCACCAGAGCTTCCAGCTGGTAGTGGTCCTTCTCAGGTTCATTCCCTTCTCCGTCACTGCCAGAGTCGGACTGTTCATCGCCCTGAGGCGGGGTTGGCAGCCGCACAGGTGGGAGGAACTGATCCACTTGGATGCGGCGCACATAGTTCCTGCAGAGGGGCAGCAGGTCCAAGATCACATTGGGGTCCGTGGTGCCCGGGATGAAGAGCTTCAGCAGGTTCTCCAGGTGTCTCTCAAAGAACATACGCTTCCAGCTGCCGCCATGCTTGGCCACGTGGCACACAGGCCAACGCTTGATGCAGCATCGATGCCAATAGTTCTCATCATCGATCAAATTGGCAGTCACCGTCAGTGGCAGGTCAGGGGGCAAGTGGCTCAAGACCTTCTGTTGGTGCTGTGGGAGCAGCTGCTTCAGGATAGGGTTGTCTTTGGGAATGGAGGAAGAAAAACAGGGTTCAGCCACAGGGCTGGGAGTATCACAACATGGCTGCCCAGGCATACAGAGGGAAGGGAAGACCCTCTGTGGTCTCGGGAGCTTTGCTCTGAGACGAGAAACAAGTCTCTTAAACAGATACTCTTTAGGGTTCTCTTGCCTGCTGGCCATTGCACCAGGCAACTGGTCTCAAGCTGACCTGCCTGGGGAGGAATGGATAGAATCTCCGGGCCAGACTCCAGCGTATTATCTAATCCTGATGGGAGCCACAGCTGGCTTCTGAGACATCCAGTCAGACTTCAATCTTTCATTCAGAACAACTACATGCACTTTAATACCTACTATGTGCCAGATGCTGGAAAAACGAATGAAGGGGCCAGAAAGATGGGTCAGTGAGTAAACAATGCTTGCTGAGCGGAACTGGTGGCCTGAATTCTACCCCAGAACTCAAGCAGAGGTGGAAGGAGACAGCTGACTTCATAGGGCTGTCTTCTGATCTGCACAAGCATACTGTGTTCTGTTGAGTGCCTATCTCTGCCTCTCTTTCTCTCACACACCAATACATTTTAAAGATGGCCAGGGGGTAGTGGCAGCATATACCAATGCCTTTAATCCCAGCACTCGGGAGGCAGAGGCAGGAGGATCTCTGTGAGTTTGAGACCAGCCTGGTCTACATAGTGAGTTAGTTCTAGGACAGCCAGAGCTGTTACACAGAGAAACCCTGTCTCAAAAAAACAGAGGGGGGGGGAGGGGAGGGGCCCTGGCCTCTTGGAGTTCATACTTAGCTTTCTGTGGCACATGGTCAAACAACAGAGGAACATGCTATGTTAGGTGGCCAGTCCTCAGGAAGCCCTTGTCCCATAAATAGGAAAGGCCTGCTACTTTTCTCTAGAAAGGCTAGAGGACACCAGGAACCCATCTCCATCCTGGAAGACTCTATTAGATGGGAAGTTAGAACTGGAGAGCTTCCTGGAGGAGGAAAACGGAGATGTGGCCAAGACTGAACTGAAAGAGCAGATGTGACCAGAGAAAGGCAAAAGCATGGAGGGAATAGTGTGTGTGTGTGTCTATGTGTGTGTGTGTGTGTGTGTCTGTGTGT